CCCCCCCCCTGGGGAGCGGGGCTCGTGGGCATCGCGGGGCCGATCGCTGTGCGAAGGCGCGGCGCGATCTCGCAGGGCCACTCTCCGTGCGGGCTCGCGGGGCCGAGGATCGAAGTTCGATGCTTCCTCGCAACTTTGGATCGCATGCTGGCCCTCCTGGGGCGCGCTCGTTGCAGCGGCCAGATATCCGCATCGAGATCTCGGGCCGGGGCGCGCCCCGAGAGAGTCCCAAGGATCGATCTTGAACCCAGGATTAGGTCGGGCATGTCCTCCTACAGGCAGAGTTACAAATATTCAAAAACGATCCAAGAGTAATCGAGAAATCGTCCCCTGACTGTTTGTTCACTGCTCTTGAATGTTTCCTCCCTGTAGAGGGGCATGCCCAGCTTGAACCTGGGAAGGGCCCTGACTTCAGGCGCCGTGAACAGATCAACGCCCGGCGGTTCTAGCCACAGCCCTCTGGCGGGCCGGCTCTGGGCCCCAGGACCTTCAAAACGATCCGGGAGTAACCAAAAAAAACTGGCCCCTGGGAACGGGCTGAGAGCGCCCGGGCCCATGCATGGAGCAAGCCGTCCGCCGGATGGCCTCGGAGGGCCTCCAGGGGCCTCCGGGAAGAGCAGGAGGAGGAGGAGGCGTGAGGGGACTGGAGCAGAGGAAGAACCGCCAGGGAAGGAGGAGGAGGAGGAGGAGGAGGAGGAGGGGGAGGAGGAGGAGGGAGGAGGAGGAGGAGGAGGAGGAGGAGGAGGAGGAGTAGGAGGAGAGGGAGGAGGAGGAGGAGGAGGTGGTGGAGGAGGAGGAGGAGGAGGAGGAGGAGGAGGAGGGAGTGAGACGCGGGGCGCTGTCCCTTCAAAACGAGGATCCAGCACCACTTTTTCGGATGTGCCCAACACTTCTTCTCGTGTCTGCTTCATGTGAACAGCCCTTCCTTCGCGCACGAACTTCCGGCCATGAGGCGCCGACCCCATCCTCCCTTCCTGGCCCCCCCCCCCCCTCTTCCTGAGCATTCTCTCAGGGCTGAGGGTGGAGATTTCACCCTTTGCCCTCCACCCCAAGAATTTTTTTGTTTGAGTGGAGGGCTTGGGCCCTCCACCCAAAGAAATGCTCGGTCTTCGGCGCACCAGACAAGAAAAGGCAGGAGCGGCGACATGGAGAGCAACCCCACGGGCGGCGGGCGGGGCGGGCGGGCCCACGGGGGCGGGCGCGCTCCCACAGGCGGACTGGGCAGACCTTGGGCCCGAAGGCGGGCTTGGGCACGTTCTGGAAGTGGTTCGAACCCTGAAGATACGAGAGCATAGCACAGTCAATCTAGCAATCGCCCCCGTGCCACCCGGGCATGCAAGGGAGCATGACTTGGCGCGGCAGGCATGTGGGAAAGCGTGGCGTGCTGGTACCGCGCCAAGGTCCTCTTGCTGGCCAGCTGCGAACTGGCGGCTCCAACGGATTGCAGGCCCACCGACTGGTTCGAGAGGAACCACAGCAGTTCCACTCCGCAGGAACACTCGTGAAACCCAAAGATGGGCCAGCGCGACAACTACGCTGGATACGACATCTAGCCATTGGTAGCGATGGAGTACCAAAGAACGCTCTCGTGAAACACTGCGTCGAGCAACAGACCCACGGTAGTTCGCTTGCCCAAAGCGCCAGTGGCGCGCTGGGTTTTCGGTGGCATTTGTTGTGCGATGTTGTATTGTGAACTTGCGCGAGCCTGGCTGCCCGTTGGTGTCCCAAGGGGTAGAAAACTAGATCCCTGCAGGGTCCTCTGGCTGGCCAAGCTTGGCCTGCACAGCTACCACGACGGCTGAAGAGCACGCTATGACGACGGCCGAATGGTAAACTAGAGCTGCAGGAGACGTCCAAGCGGACCACAGAGGCTCCCAAGACGTCCGCAAACAAAAATCACCTGGCGAAGGACCCACCCATAGGCAATTGTGAAAGCCACAAGGATTATGTCGGGCGTGTCCCCCTACAGGGGGATTTTCGACGAAAAATAAAAATACCCCAAAAATACCCCAACAAGGTTAAAAAAATACTCAAACATAGTCCCCTGGCTATTTGGGAGGCATTGTTTGATTATTGTTGGGGTATTTTTTTATTTTTTCATCGAAAATCCCCATGTAGGGGGACAGGCCCGACTTAACACAAGGAAGATGGGCCGAAGGAGGGGGAGCTCGCTGTGGGGCCACAACACGCGCGAGGGGTGCGCCAGGGCCAGCGACATGAGCGTGGCCAGGGCGAGCGCGACGATAAAGTCAGCCCACGACTGCATACGGACTGGTGCCTGTCGGCCTGCTGTGGAGCTCCTAGGGGGGCTCGGAAAGAACGGCAAGGGTGAGCGAGAGAACCCAAAACTGCATGCGGACTTTTTGATGCTGAGCAAATGGAGCGGACGGCTGCATGTGGATTTTTTCATGTTGGCCCTCTGTGGAGCTCCTACGGGGGCTTGAAGAAGCGTGGCAGGGGCAAGCGACATGAGCCCACGACTGCATGCGGACTTGTTCATGTCGACCGTCGGTGAAGCTCCCATGGGGCTTGAAAAGTGTGGCAGGGGTGCACGATATGAACCCACGACTGCATGCTGGTTTTTTTCACGTCGCCAGCCGTCAATGGAGTTCCTACGGGGCGTCGGGAGCGTAATAGGGGCGAGCGAAATGAGCCCACGATTGTATGCGGACTTTCTCATGTCGGCCTTCTTGGGGACTTGTATAACACAGCACGTGCGAGCGAAGTGAGCCCACGACTGCATGCGGACTTCTTCATGCGTTCGCACGTGGAGCTCCTATATGGGACTTCGCAAGCGCGGCAGGGGCGAGCGAAATGAGCCCACGACTGCATGCTGATTTTTTCATGTCGGCCGTTTGAAGGGCTCCGGCAGGGCTTGAAGAAGCGTGACAGGGGCAAGAGACATAAGCCCACGACTGCATGCGGATTTTTTCAGGTTGGCCTCCTGTGGAGCTCCAGTGGGGCCTGACAAGCGTGACAACGGCGAGCGACATGACCCCACGACTGCATGCGGGTTGTTTCATGTCGGCCGTCTGTAGAGTTCCTCTGAGGCTTCGCAAGCATGGGAGGGGCGAGCGAAATCAGCCCGCGACTGTCGGCCCTTTGTGGAGCTCCTATGGGGCTTGAAAAGAATTGCCAGGGCGAGCTGAGCGAGCCCACGATTGCATGCGAATTTGTTCATGTCGTCCTTTTTTGGGAGCGCCTACAAGGCTTGCAAAGCGTGGCAGGGGTGTGCCAGGGCAGAAGCAGGAGGGAGGAATAGGAGGAGGACCCCGAAGACCAGGACGCGGGGCGCTGCTGATTCAAAACAAAAACCCAACACCACAAGACGGCTGGGAAAAACAAGGAGGCCCACGAAAGGCCGCAAGGGAGCACCCAAGCCTCCAACTGAGGCGCCGGACAGCCCAAATCAATGGAGCAACCAAAGGTGACGCAATGTGTTTGGCCAACCAAACCTTTCGGTTTCAAATGGGTTTCCGGGAGGCTTCAGACAGCCCCGCGGCGACCCAAAAGCGCTCACAAGTGGAAACGTCGCACGGTCGGCGGCAGCCGCCAAAGCTTTTACGCAGTTCACTCAAAGAGCGGGTTGCCAACACATGCGCACACAAGAGTTGAGGTGCACGAAATGCCACAGGTGGAAAGGTGCGCAAGCAAGCCCCACAGGCCAAATCTCCCATGGGGCCCCCAAGCGCGCGGCACCACCCTTCGCACAGATGTCGCGCCGTCGACTATGGCTTGCGCGGGCGCCGCAGCTCGAGGCGGGCATTTGGAGGCCCAAACTCGAACGCGTTCTTCCGTCGCGGCGCGGCAGAGGCGATCCGCTCGCGCGTGGAGCATGCCCAGGACGCGGAGTTGCGAATTGTCCCACATGAAAACGAGGGCGGAGCAGCAGAAGGCAGCCGCAAATTGGAAAAAAGGAGGGAGGGCACTCTCACGCGGCGGCGCCGGGATGCGCGGGGCGGTCAGGCTGCGGGACAGTCCCTGGCAGCGGCGCGGGGCGGCGTCGCGGGCGCACCCACGGGAGGGGCCAGCAGCCGCAAGACGACGCCGTGAAGATATCACTGCATCATCCGTGTGCCTGGCTTTTGTCGAGCCAGGTCCACACCTGTGCGGCCCCCGGGGCCGAAAACGGGAGGAACAAAACGCTCGTCGTGGCATGTCCACGACGCCCGTGTCCCAGACCTCCGACCTTTTCATTACAGTCGGGCCGTTGTCGTGAGGAACCCTAAATAAGGAACGAGGCCCCAGTTTCCCTGATGTCAAACTTCGACTTCCCATAGAAAACATAAGGATAATCCAAGACAGCGGTAAAACAAGAAAGGAGCACTGAGCCCCTTCCCAACGAAAAGGGTTCCTTCTTCAACGGCCCGACTGTACGGGGCCCCAGGAAGTCCCGACCCTTCCACGGGACCTGTGTCTGATCCTGGATATTTGTTGGACGGCTCGGGGCTCAGAAGCAGCTCTCGGACCGAAAAGTGCGGACGAGTTTGGTCCTGTGTTTGGTCAAGACGTCGGAGGTCTGGGATCCCCAATCCTGGCAAACCCTCACGAAAACTAGCCTCGGTCTCCTCTCGGGGTCCACCCTGGCACTTTTTTCTCGGGTCGCGTGCAGCCGTGGCAACGAGAACCCCAAGAACCCTTCAAAAACATCCGAGACGACGACGTCGACAATCCTCGATCTTCTATCCTCGATCGGGGGCACCAGCGGTGCCGCCGCCGCCGCCGAGAACCAGGGGGGTGGAGGAGAGAGGCGCAGCGCTGAGCCATGGGCCCGCGTTGCCCAACTTCATGGCCGTCCAGGCCCTGTGGATGGGCCTACTTTTCACCACAGCCACTGCAGACCAGGGGCGGTTGACCTGTGGCTAGAGCTTTGCTGTGGTGTGAGGCCCTGGCCGCGCCCAGCAAAGCACCACTACGCGACGGGCTCGCGTCTTCATGCCTTCTGCGCTCGTTTCCGACACCGCTTGAACGATCGCGGCTTTCCGACCGCGCAGATCGGTCGACGTCGGCCGACGGCGGCGCTCAAGCTAGGGACGTCCGCGCGGGGGGCGCCGCCGCGCCGACCCGACACGAGCCGACCGCCATCAGGCCCGCCGCCCCTGGCTGGTCGGGGCTCGGCCACACGCCAGAGCGGCCCGAAACCGTGGGCAAGGGCCAGGGGGCCACACGCGAACCCTGCCCCTAGCCCCCACGATCTCTGAGGGGGAGGGGGGGGGGGTCACTTCGTCAGGGAGCTCCCGAGCGAAGTGAACCCCACCCTCCCCCTCCGAAATCGTGGGAGGCGGGGGCAGGGCTCGCACGTGGCCCCCGAAGGGGGGCGCTCGCGGCGCGGACGACGGGGGCGCCGGGCGGCCAAAGCCAGGCGCGCCGGCCGCCGCTTCCGTCGCCCCGCGCGCGGCGCTTAAGGGGGGCCCCCCGGCGAGCCCGCACCCTCCGGCGAAGGGTCGGCGGTGGGCAAACCCTTAGTGGGCCCCGGAAACGGCAGGGCCGTTTTATCACCGCTTCCAAAAAAGATGCCCCTCGAGAATGGAAGCGGCAAAAAAACAGCGACCGGAAACGGCAAAAGAACGGCTCCAGGATTGGAACCGGAGCCGGAACCGGTCAAAAAACGGCGACGGAACCGGTAGAAAAACGGCGTCGGAACCGGCAAAAAAACTGCAAAACGGAACCGGTAAAAAAACAGCCCTGTCGTTTCCAGGGCCCACTAAGGACAAACCTCCCTTTAGTAGACCTCCCCTTAGTGACAACGGCCTGGGACCGAAACCGACGGACCTGGGCCCGCAAAAGTGACGGCCGCGACGCCCTCTCGCGAACCGAAAACGGCCGATTCCTGAATCGACGTGTCAGGGTAGGAGGTCTGTCCACCGGGCCATGACCAGCCTGGAACATATCCCTATCCCTATGCTGGGCATCTCCTGATCACGATGCCAATCTTAGGGACTCCCTTATTTTTTGAGGGCGCATCCCTAAGATTGTCATCGCCTTCTGGCGTGTCAATCTTAGGGATAGGGATAAGTTCAAGGCGTGTAAGGTCACTCTGACTCTTACGTGTGGTCGAGCGGTGGCTGCGGGAAGTAGGCCCCCCGGCCTGTGGCCCGGGGGCGCGTCCTCCCTCGACCGCTGGGCGGGGGGCGGCGCCAGCGGCAGCTCGTCGTCCTCGGTAGGCAGCGCTTGACCGATCCCCGGCCCCACTGGCATGGCCTGGGCCCCGCTGGCCGCCTTGCCACCCTGGACGGGGATGTGCCTGATGTGTGTGTGTGTGTGTGTCTGTGTGTCTGTGTGTCTGTGTGTCTGTGTGTCTGTGTGTCTGTGTGTCTGTGTGTCTGTGTGTCTGTGTGTCTGTGTGTCTGTGTGTCTGTGTGTCTGTGTGTCTGTGTGGTGTCTGTGTGTCTGTGTGTCTGTGTGTCTGTGTGTCTGTGTGACTGTGTGTCTGTGTGTCTGTGTGTCTGTGTGTCTGTGTGTCTGTGTGTCTGTGTGTCTGTGTGTCTGTGTGTCTGTGTGTCTGTGTGTCTGTGTGTCTGTGTGTCTGTGTGTCTGTGTGTCCTGGTGTGTCCTGTGTGTCTGTGTGTCTGTGTGTCTGTGTGTCTGTGTGTCTGTGTGTCTGTGTTTCTGTGTGTCTGTGTGTCCTGTGTGTCTGTGTGTCTGTGTGTCTGTGTGTCTGTGTGTCTGTGTGTCTGTGTGTCTGTCAGTCTTTTTCTGTGTGTTTGTTTGTCTGCGTGTTTGTGTGCCTGTGTGTCTGTGTGTCTGTGTGTCTGTGTGTCTGTGTGTCTGTGTGTCTGTGTGTCTGTGTGTCTGTGTCTCTGTGTCTCTGTGTGTCTGTGTCTCTGTGTGTCTGTGTGTCTGTGTGTCTGTGTGTCTGTGTGTCTGTGTCTCTGTGTCTCTGTGTGTCTGTGTGTCTGTGTGTCTGTGTGTCTGTGTGTCTGTGTGTCTGTGTGTCTGTGTGTCTGTGTGTCTGTGTGTCTGTGTGTCTGTGTATCTGTGTGTCTCTTGTCTCTGTGTCTCGGTGTCTCGGTGTCTCGGTGTCTCTGTGGCTCTGTGTCTCTGTGTCTCTGTGTCTCTGTGTCTCTGTGTCTCTGTGTCTCTGTGTCTCTGTGTCTCTGTGTCTCTGTGTCTCTGTGTCTCTGTGTCTCTGTGTCTCTGTGTCTCTGTGTCTCTGTGTCTCTGTGTTTCTGTGTCTCTGTGTCTCTGTGTCTCTGTGTCTCTGTGTCTCTGTGTCTCTGTGTCTCTGGGTCTCTGGGTCTCTGGGTCTCTGTGTCTCTGTGTCTCTGTGTCTCTGTGTCTCTGTGTCTCTGTGTCTCTGTGTCTCTGTGTCTCTGTGTCTCTGTGTCTCTGTGTCTCTGTGTCTCTGTGTCTCTGTGTCTCTGTGTCTCTGTGTCTCTGTGTCTCTGTGTCTCTGTGTCTCTGTGTCTCTGTGTCCTGTGGGTCTCTGTGTCTCTGTGTGTCTGTGTCTCTGTGTCTCTGTGTCTCTCTGTGTCTCTGTGTCTCTGTGTCTCTGTGTCCTGTGTCTGTGTCTCTGTGTCTCTGTGTCTCTGTGTCTCCTGTGTCTCTGGTCTCTCTGTGTCTGTGTCCGTGTGTCTGTGTGTCTGTGTGTCTGTGTGTCTGTGTGTCTGTGTGTCTGTGTCTGTGTGTCTGTGTGTCTGTGTGTCTGTGTGTCTGTGTGTCTGTGTGTCTGTGTATATGTGTGTCTGTGTGTCTGTGTGTCTGTGTGCCTGTGTGCCTGTGTGTCTGTGTGTCTGTGTGCCTGTTAGCGCGGGGCCTATAAAAGCAGAAAGAAGCCCACAAGGGGCCCAGGCCCCACTGACGGGCCGAGGCCCCAAGGGGCCATCCCAAGACAGGGGCGGGCCTCAGGGGATCCCGAGAGCCCAGACGAGCCGCAAAGGGCTGCCACCAGGGCACCTCGGCCCCGAGGCGCCACCCGGCCAGTCAGCCCGAGCCCCCGTCAAGGGGCATCAGCGCGAAGCGCTGGAATATATACAACTGTGCAAACACGCGACGGGCGAAGCCCCAAACATGCTAGCACACCCCAGGCGGCACGGCGGGGCAGGCGAGGCGCGGGAACCTTCACGCCCACGCGCAGAGGCCCGCGGCCACGAGGGGTCCAAAAGGCAGGGACGCAGAGGGAGGACGAGGCGAGGCAGGCAGGCGCTCCGCAGCCAGGAGCGCCCAGAGCTCAGCCCCCACGCCCTCGCGCGGTCTGAGCGCCCCAAGGCTGGGGCCAGGCGGGCTCAGTATCCCCCTTTCTCCGACATCTCTGCGTCGCTTCCTGCCCTGGCGCTCGAGTCGGCCTCGTCGGCCTCCTCCGCCCAGCTCAGCAGGCTCTCCCCATCGAGGCCGTACGCATCCAGCCAGGCCTTCCGCGATCCCGCTCCGCCCGCGGTGCCACCAGCCGCCGCGGCCCCTCGGCCGATGAGGCGGCCGCTTCGCCTGCGCCGCCCTCAGCAGCACCAGCCACCAAGGCGCTGCCCGCGACTCCTGCTGGTGCACCAGGCTGCACTCCGAGCCACGTCCATCACGGCCCCAGAAAAAGGGGAAGCTGCGGTCTGACTCCCATCGGGCACAGCACGGCTGCCTCAGGCGAGGCCATAGCCGCAGGGCCAGCGGGAGCAGCGCGATGGGCCGCGTCCCTCCATCGGCTTTGGGAATGAAAACCATGAGCGGCACCTGCCCCCTGAACGAAGAAGGCTCGTCCTCGAAAGCCAACAGGATGTCAATCAAGCGAAGCTGCAGCGTCTTTGGCAGCAGGAGGAGCTGGCGAGGGTGCAAGTTGTCGCAGCCCAACCCCACAGACGGGCCGCAGCGCCTGCACGCCTGCTGCAGGTCCCCCAGGGTGATGGGCGGCAGCGTCCATGAGCCAACATCCCACCTGTGGGCTACGACCCCGCGGGAGAAGCCCTCCTGGAGCCAGAGCCGCTGCAACGTGGGCGCGAGCTGGTCCACGGCGTCCATGCCGACGAGCGGCCTCCCAGCGTCGGCGCCCCTGGCCACAGGCGTGGGAGCCGCCTTGGAGAAGCGGTGGGCCAGGCGGCCTCCTTTCTCCACAGCCGTCTGGGCCCAGCTGCGCCAAGCTGCCGCGCCCTCGGCGGCATCGCGCCTCTGGGACACCAGGAGCCACGACTGCAACTTGGCGATCGCCGCGGGGCAACCCATCACCCCCGCGTGGAAGGCGAGGTCGCCCCACTTCTCGTCGGAGGCTCCAGGGAGGGCCTCGCTCCGAAGGCCAGTCGCATCCTGGGTCGCCTCGTCTAGGAGCTTCGCCCTCGCCGCCGCCTCCTGCACGTACCACCAAGAGTGGTTCGGGTGCCACCTGCTGGCCTGATCCGCCTGAATCCTCTGGAGGGCGACGGCAAGGCAGCTCCTCAGGCGGTGGGTCAGCTTGCTGCACTTCAACCTTGCCTCCCGCAGCACCAGCGCGCTGAAGGGCTTGCGCCTGAACTTGGGCCGTGCCGCACGCCCAAGGTAGCGCGGCAGGTTGCCTGGCGCGATCTCGTGGATGCCCGTGAGAGTGCTCTCTCCGCCGCCTCGATCCACTCGCCGAAAGCGGCGGAGAGACAGATCGGGCGCGAACCCTGAGCCCATGACCAAGTTACCTCCTTCTGCGCCACCTTCCCGCGCTTGCCGACAGTGAAGGCCTGGACCAGGGCGTCCTCGCGGGGCCGCAGACCCTTGACCTCCACCTCAGGAAAACGCGCGGGGCGGGAGGGCACCTCGACCAGGGCGACGCACCTGACATCCTGGAGGCGCAGCGGCACAGGGGAATGCGGGCGCAGCCAGAAGTCACTGAGCGTGGTCGAGCAGGACGCCGTGCAGGTGGCCAGGTCCGACGACGCGAAGAACCAGTCGAAGACGCGCTCCAGGCCCTGGGCACAGCAAGTCGCCTCCGAAGGCCCCAGCACCTGCCCGCGGACCGCAGCCGGCCAGCCCAGCTCCTCGTCCTGGAGCCCGACCCTCACCTGGATCGCGACGCCGCCCGACGTGGCGTTCGGGCCAGACTGCTCCGTGGCCACCGCCTCGTGAAGGAAGGCGGTGTGTCCGAGACGGCGCGCCGTCGCCCTGGCCCCAGGCAGACGCTCCTGGGTCAGCCTCGTCTCCCACAGGAGGACCAGCTGCGGCCCGTACTGGTGGGCGTGGAAGAAGGCCTCGATGACCTCGACGTTCCCGTTCCAGACGTTGCCATTGCGGCCCAGGACCTCCAGGCCAGCCCGCAGTGGGCACGGACTGCCAGGGCCCGACCCTGGCGCGGGCGGAGGCCCGAGGCGAGCCTTGCCAAAGCAGGCCTCCTGCGCCGTCATCCTCGTCCTCGGGCCGCTCGGCACCTCGGCTTCGCTAAACCCGTCGAGGGACACGGCCACCCGCTCGCCAGCGGCCTCGACGAGGGGAGCGCGGGGGGTTGAGGGGCGGCCACCCGCCCGTCGGCGGCCCTCAACGCTCCCCCACAGCCTGGTGCCGACCTCGCAGGTGGCCCGCTCAGGCGCCGCCTAACCCTCCTGCTGCTATCAGCGCACGGGCCTGCCGTAGCGACGTCAAGGACACCTGCGGCTGCCAGCAGCAGGGCCAGCAGCAGCCGTGGCCAGCGGCTGGTCGTCGAGGAGGGCCGCTCCAGCGTTGGCAAGGCTCCTGGCCAGCGGCTGGGCTGCGGGCCATGCGCCGCGCGCCGCTCCTCGCCGCGCTGCCTGTCCACGCTCGGCGGCATCCTGCACGGACGGGACCGACGAAGCTCGGGTCCGCTCCTCATCGTCTCCATCGAGGTCCTCGTCGGAGACGTCGACGGGAGTGCCGGCCCAGGATGAGCGGCCCTTGGGCTCTGGGGGTGCCTGCCTGCGGACCGCTGCGATCTGCCTGGCGACCTCGGCGAAGGCGGCCTCCCCGTTGCCCGCGGCGAACCCCTGCGGCAAGGCCTCAACCTGCTGAATGAGGCCGAAGACCAGCCCGAGCAGGTCCGCGCCAGCGAAGGCTGCCCCAACCTCCTGGGCCTGTCTGGCCTCAGCGGCCTTCTGCTCCTCGCGGTGAGCCTCGAGGGCAGCTCGGCACTCCTCGACGGCCTCTGCGCACGCGGCCTCCCGAGCGACTGCCTCCTCACGCTCGGTGATGGCCGCCGCGTGGGCCTCCTCCGCCTTGAGCAGCGCCTGCTCCTTGGCCCGCCCCTGCCTGACCATCTTACCCAGGGCGTTGCCAGCGCCGTGGAGCGCCTTGGGCAGGGGGGTGTCGGCCTTCCTGCGATCAGCCTGCGCCGCCTCCGCTGCCGCGAGTCTGCGACGCTCACGGTCGAGGGCCGTTCGCAGCGACTGCAGGCACGCATCATCGATGGACTCGCCAGGGGCCGCAAGGAAGTCTTCGATGCGCTTGACCTCCTGGCGGTGCCGCTCAACGGACGACAGCTGCCTGCTGCTGGCCTCGCTGGCGCCTGCCAGGCTGGCGGCCCCCGCGCTGGCTGCGCGGGCAGCAGCGCGCTTGGCCTGCCGCCTCGCTTTCCTCCCACGGGGCTGGACGACGAAGCCCTCGGCGTCAGCGGCAGGCTGCTCCAGGCCAGCGGCGGCCGCGGGCGGCTGGGCTGCCTTGACCCACGGCGGGGTCACTCGGCCGCAGCTGCGGCACTGCCAGAGCGAGCACCAATTCCACTCCCTGCAGAGGCGGCTGGAGCAGACCCAGTAGCTCCAGCTGCACTTGGCCTTGCCGCCAACCGCGACGTCGTCCCGAGAGCGGCCTCCAGCTGGCTGTCCGTGCGCCACCATGGCAAGGCAGTATCTGACGAATGGCCTCGCGGACCAAAACTGCGGCCTCTCGGCTGAGACCCGAGGCCCAGAGAACTCGCACACGAGAGCTGGCCCAAAGCGCGGAGCCCCTCGCGCTCAGAGCGCCGCGAACGACTCGCGGTCGTCGGGTGCTCCATGGCCTTGAGCCAAAATGGCTACGGATGTCTGTGTGTCTGTGTGTCTGTGTGTCTGTGTGTCTGTGTGTCTGTGTGTCTGTGTGTCTGTGTGTCTGTGTGTCTGTGTGTCTGTGTGTCTGTGTGTCTGTGTGTCTGTGTGTCTGTGTGCCTGTGTGTCTGTGTGTCTGTGTGTCTGTGTGTCTGTGTGTCTGTGTGTCTGTGTGTCTGTGTGTCTGTGTGTCTGTGTGTCTGTGTGTC